TGTTTCTTCCCAGTGCAGCTCTTTCCTAACAAATTTGTGCTCAGGGCTCCCCATCAGCCAGGTTGAGACCTTCCCCATGCTGGGCTGCAACCTGAGCCCAGTTCAGGAAGGCTCAAGGCCTTCCTACCTTTCCTTTTTGCTCTTTTTCCTCTACAAGTGTCAGACCAGAATAACAATCTGAAAACCGGCCCCCCACTCCCCCATGCATTTGTGCTCTCCATCCCTTACCCTATACAAGTGTTTCCTCCAATAAATCTCTTACACATTTACTTTTGCCCTGCTGTCTGCTTCTTGGAAAGCCTACACTGGTACAAGTCCTTCTGGTTCCTACACTCACAGTCCTTGCTTGCTTTCTCAGACATTTGAGTCTTACCTCTCTCCAACCCACTTAAGTTCAACCATCCCTCTGGCTAACCCTTTGAAATATTTTTATTCTGGTTCCAGGCTTTCAGAACTCCACATTGACTGGCAAGCCAATCAACCCCTAGTAGGTACACATAACAAATACTGAGGGGATCAGGCATAACAGAAATACTAGTAGCTTTTACTAATGCTAGTACCATCAGTGTGGAAGTGCAGACCCACAGTTATTTGCCAATACCCTCGCAAACAGTGTGTTTCAGAATACAGAATGCTTTGAATTTTGGAAGGGTGCTATGGTATATAGACTGAATACTATGTCATATACCCAGGGAGTCTGTAACAGGAAAAGCAGTAATACTTCTGCAGCAAAATGCACATATATTCACACTACATTGGGTAATCCAGAATTAAAAACACTTGTTAAAAGACAAAAAAGAAGTACAAAAGTAATTTCAGGTCCATTTAGCTTGGGCTTTACAGTAAAATAAGTTATTTAATATTTTTTTTATTTTCAGAGATTTTTATATTTCTTTTTCTAAGTTTATTTATTTTGAGAAAGATAGAGCATGAGTGGAGGAAGGGCAAAGGGAGATAGTGAGAGCAAGTGAATCCCAAGCAAGCTCTGCGTTGTTAGTGCAAAGTCCCACGTAGGGCTTCACAAACCATGAGATTATGGCCTAAGCTGAAATCAGGAGTCAGATGCTTAACTGAATAAGCCATCCAGGGACTGCAAAGATTTTTATATTTCTGAACAGTGATACAATTCTGATTTATTGAGCACTTACTTTGTATCAAGCATTGTATTCAGCCTGAGTACTCCATAGGCATTTTTTTTAAATTTTACATAAGTATCATAAATAGGCATTTTAGCTCCATTTTACAGGTGAGATAATGGAATGTCAATTAACTTTTCCAAGGCCAAACAAATAGCAAAGGCCAAAGCTAAAATTTGAACCCCAGGGAATCTACGTCCAAAACTTTTTATCTGAACCACACTGCCTGTCCACATAAATGTCTTCAAGCCCTGACCAAGCCTGATGTGATGGAATAAGCCTTACCTAGAAGTCAGGAAGCCTGAAGCTAACACTGGTTCCATTATATGTAGTTTTTTTTTTTTTTTTTTCCTATTGAGCCTCTATTTCCTAATATAAAAATTGGGGTCAGCAATGCTCAACTCACAGGATGGTTTTCATAAGGATCAAAGTATAAACTAGGTGTGGAAACATGTTTGGGATCACATTGTGAAGGGCCAAATAAGACACTACCATTATTGTGGTGATGATGATATAAACCATTATTATTGCTGATGCTTCAGAGAGCTCTTAAGCCTATAAATAATTATTCTCTTGGCAGAGAGGTGGGCAGATACTTCATCTTCCTTGAGCAGCTTTGCATTTGAGCACCAAGAAGAGTTGGGGCATTGAGATGATGTAGGAAATCAGGCCAATTTGCAATGGTTACTCCACACCATTTGAATTTGGTAAGGAAGAGCTGTCTGCTCTGCATGGTAATTGCTTCTCTAAAGATTCCATCTCCATGTTCAAGTAAATAATTACAGATATACACACACAGCAGGGAAGGCAGACTTTTGAGTCTTCCAATTTGAATAGCTATGAACCCTGCAAGTGAAGTCATTGCTTCTGGAACAAAATTGTTGACAGTTCTTTATCATTGTGTGTTGTTGTTTTTTTTTTTTTTCAAAATCTCTGATTTCTCATTAACATTGCCACATTGTCCATTTCTTTGCTTTCTTTGTCTGGGCCAGTAAGGGGTATCTGCTGAATAAGGCAGGAAGATAAGAAATGGTTCCAATTTGGGTACAGTGGGTAGCCCAGAATACAAGACAAAGTCCTTGCTGGAGAGTGTAGAATGCTCTTGCGAGGCTTTGACTTGAAAGAGAGGCTGTGCGATTCCATGAATTTAGAGTGTGAGGCTGCAGTCAATATTTTTAATTTCAAGTCAAACTAGAAAGATGGACAAGAGGCAGAGAATATTGATGAAGGGGTGTTAAAAGATTGATGTCAGTGCTGGGAGATTCCAAATCACATATAAAGATACAGGCAGAGTCTAAATCTACAGGCAGTGGGTGTACAGGTGTCCTACAGGTGGCCTGGGTGGGGACTTAACATAACAAACAAAAGGAGCAAAAGACAGAATACAGGTGTTTTAATGGGAAACAGCAGCATTGAGTCTTGAATAGCAAGGAAGGTTCATGTAACTGTATATAACTTAGCAACTTGCTGATGCTAAGCCAGCCAAGGAAGTCAGTTCCATCTAGGTTTGAAATTCAGCTCTGTGGTATTAAGTTTCCAAACTATCAAAATTTGAAAGTATTCATCTAAAAAATGGGGATGATCATTTCTTTCCTGGAGGGTTAGTGTGAGATACATAAAACAGTTGAAGAGGTGCCCAGAACATGCACGTGCTTCGAAAACGTTGATGATGATTAATTTACTGAGGAAAGGGACAGCCCCCCTCCGGACCTCCTTGGAGAGTCCCTGGAGAGTAGGGTCTGGAGATAGGCATGTGGCCTCTGGAATCCCTTGCATTGGCAGTGTTACACTACATCCAGAACTGATCGATTATTTTGTTTTACATTTTTTTTGGTTAAATTATTGGAAATAAACAAAACAAAAGCTTCAACAATGCATGAAAAACCCTCTCCAAACTACACAAGAAAAAGACGCTGTTGTCTTTTTACTACTTCCCTCTCTGCCTAAAGCCTTTAATCCAAAGGAATAACAAGAAGTAACACACGTCTGAATCTCATCTATTATTTTTGCCTTGGGCCACATACAAGCGACTGCATGTCAGATCAACACCTCTTCCACTCCATCCTTCACCACAGAATGCTCTGTTCAAGAGAATTACAAGAATCTCAGCTCTGAGGAAGTGCTTTGAGATGAGAAGTGTTAGTCTCCGATTCCAGTCAAGTGCTCTATTGGGCAAGTGCTCTATTGCTCTATTGGGCTCTATTGGGCTCTATTTCTATTCTAGAAAGAAGAGGAGACACTCAGCAGCAGAGGGAACAAGAGTGTGAGTGTGTCCAGTAAGTATTCAGTATGAGCTACAATGAGCCAGGCTCCTCTGTTTGAGTGGTTCTGGTTGCCTTGAACCTGCTAATACCTGCTGATATGGACTATTTGTTCTGCCACTCATTTGTTCTATGATCTTGGAGGAGATCCTTTCCTTCTGTCTGAGTTTTAGTTTCCTCATCTGTAAAATGAAACATTGATAAATGTTTCCTTGATTTTATTTATTTATTGTAGTTGGGATTAAACAAAAACATTATCAATAAAACAACCAACACGGAGACTGGCACAAAATATGTATTTATGATATGTTAGCTGCTAGAATGGTGCTTGGGGAGATAGTAGCCATGGTGGTGTAGAAGAAGTAGTACCAGTGATAAGAGTGGTGTAAATAGTAGAAAGAGATTTGGAAACCAAGCAAATCTCAGCTCTTTCTAACAGAATGTTAGACTCATACATCTGTACTTAGGAAACTAGACTATTGTTTTACAGATGACATTTCTCCAACAATTTCCCTTTAGCATTTAGTAAAGCTCTATTTGACAACTGGAAATGAATCCAGCTGTCCCAAGAGTTGGGAGAAGGAGAGGCAAGGCAGGGAGGCTGTATTCTTGCCTGCGTCAGAGATTAAAGTCTGAACAGTCAATGCTAGAACAGGCTGGAGTGATGGTAGAAGGAGCTCAAGGAGAAGATAAAATTGCTCCTCCCCAACTGGCAACTGACCATCCTAAGCTGTTCAGTGATTCCCCAAGGACTTCAAGATAAAACTCAAACTCTTATGCATGGTAAGTACAAACATTCTCACCTTTTGGGCTCGCCTAATTTTTGATTCCAGCTCTCAGTGTCTTCCACCCTCTACCTCTTCAGGACACAAGGCTATTTCAGACCTCGGTGTTTGTTCATGCAGTATCTTAGGCCTGTGCACATGATGAACACCAACTCATATTTTAAGATGTGTCTTGTGCCACCTGCTTTTGAAGATTTCTTGAATTTCTCTCTCCTTGATGATGCTGGCCATATTTTACTCCGTGTTCCAAATTTTGACTATTTCTATCATGATCTGAAAAGTTGTATGCAATTCTTGTCTCTTCTTATGAAATTCCAAGAAGCCAGAGATTATGAGTCTTATGCATGTTTATATTCCTGACAAAATTAGGGGCATAGTTAATGTTTTTTTGTTTGTTTGTTTTGTTTTTTTAATTTTTTTTTATTTATTTCTAGGAGAGAGAGAGACAGCATGAGCAGGGGAGGGTCAGAGAGAGAGGGAGTCACAGACTGAAACAGGCTCCAGGCTCCGAGCTGGCAGTCAGCACAGAGCCCGACGCGGGGCTCGAACCCACGAACCGCGAGATCATGACCTAAGCGAAAGTCGGACGCTTAACCGACTAAGCCACCCAGGCGCTCAGTTAATGGTTTTTATTTATTTAATTTATTTTTTTTTTACCTTGAGGATACACATATTTTAATTAGTAGTCCCATTTAGGGAAACTGTCAGTTTATTTTTCTACCCAATTCAGTATCAGCGATATACAAAAAGATATAAACAGATTATCATACTTATACACAAAACAGCTATCAAGGAACAAATGCAGCAAAGTAACAAATAAAAATATGGAACCCTTCACGAATTTGCATGTCATCCTTGCGTAGGGGCCATGCTAATCCATCTCTGTATCGTTCCAGTTTTCATGTACGTGCTGCCAAATCGAGCACTGTTAACACTTTTTAAATGAATGAGGAAAGGAAGGGAGGGATAGATGGATGGATGGATGAATAAATGAATGAAAAATGGGGGAGCAGATGAATAGTAAGTGAGTGAAAATACAAACAAAGAGATGCTCTTCAAAATGCCCTATAGAGGGATTGGCACAGATTCGTCAATATTGCTCCCCTCCCCCACTCCAGATCTTTGCTGCTCAGAACTTGGAAGTTTCTGAATTTTATTTCCATTTGTCTTATTCTTCCTTTATTGGGAAGTCAGGATGAGATACAGGTATGAAGAAATAGGTGATAATTTGGTTTTTAATCACACTGATTCTGAGATGTTCAGAAGGACATACATGTGGAAGTATTAAAATGGTAAATAAGAATATGGGGCAAATGCTCAGATGAGGGGCCAAGTAGAGAGTATAGATTTGGAGGTTATATGAAGCAGTGATGATTAGAGCCAGAAAAAAGGAGGAGACCACTGAGGGTGAGGGAATAGGGCAGGAGGCAGGAGAGTAAGATAAATGCCTCTTGGGGAGCATGCTGGAAAACACAGCAAATAGGAAAACCGAGTCAACAGGAGAATAGGAGGAATCTTTCTCCTAGAAGCCAGATATGAGATATTCAAGAAGGCGGCCGTGGGTAACAATGCCCAATGCCAAGAGAGAGCAGGTAAGACAAGGGCTACTAAAAGACCATGGGATTTGGCATTACCTAGGTGATTATAGAGAAAGCTAAGTTACGTGGGGTCAACAAATGAATACGTAGGTGATGGAAGAGTGAAGAGCAAATATAGACCCCTCTCTAAATCATCTTTCTTATGAAAGAAAGGAGGAGAAATAGGACATTTCCATGGGCTAGAAAGGGAGACACCTGAACTGAGGAAGAGTGGAGGGGATTGAGGGCATGCCATTGTTGGGGATATTAACAGAACAGGGCTCTGTAGACAATGGGTGGGAACCAATGGCACAAACAAGAGGGAAGAGTGGACACAGTCTCTGCAAAGGAGCAAGAAGGAGAAAAGAAATAAAGACATGTGGAACCTTTCCGGTGGAGCATCATCTCCATTATCCCCCACATATTCTAAATTCACTCATTCATAGTAAAGCTCAGACCCAGTCTTTAGAAGTGGGGAGCTCTCTTGTGCAGTCCCAAATTCAGATCAGTTCTCATGGAAAGGAAAGAGTTACAAAACTATTGAAACTATTGTTCGAAAATATCAAACCAGCATTTTTGTTCATCAATTCAGATTTAAAATTTAATTTCATGGTACAATGAACCCATACACAGTTATATCTATTAAGGTCACCCACTCCGAGTTCATCAGCTTCCTCCGAGCATTGATGACTGTAAAACTCTTTAGGAGATAAGAATCACTGCTTCATACTTCTCAGTGCTTACACTTTTAATGTGAGTCCAGATTTTCCGACTCTGAAATGCCCAATGAAGTTTATCCTTCCCCCCATCCCTGTTTTCCCCTACTGTTCCTCCATCCATAGTTCTTTTTTTAATAATTTTTTATATTTTTATTTATTTCTAGGAGAGAGAGAAAGAGAGACAGCGTGAGCAGGGGAGGTTCAGAGAGAGAGGGAGTCACAGACTGAAACAGGCTCCAGGCTCTGAGCTGGCAGCCAGCACAGAGCCCGACGCGGGGCTCGAACCCACAAACCGCGAGATCATGACCTAAGCAAAAGTCGGACGCTTAACCGACTAAGCCACCCAGGCGCCCCTTTCCTCCATCCATAGTTTTAACAAAACAAGCAAAAAAAAAAAAATCTGTTAGAGTCTCAAAGATTTGAGTCAAGGAGAGGTAGGAGGGGAGTTTTGACTGTTTCATTGTTTCAAAAGAGCACACTTATAGTTTGTTTGAATTATTTGCTTAATTTTTCGTTAACAGAGTCATTGACGTCTTCTTTCTGCTACTCGAAATACTAAGTCTTGAATCCAACCAGTTTTTATTGTGCTTCTTATTATTGTAATAGTGGGTGCTTCATTCATTAATTTTTTGCCTTCCACACAAAGTAAATCTAGAATTTTCCATTAAGGCAACGTGGTAATTAGGCAATTTGGATTTAAATTGGTTTGAAAATATATTCACATCCAAGGTTAAATGAACATGGACACACACACATAAGCACACATACAATATTACCTCTCTCTCTCTCATATATATATATAAATATATACACACATATAATATATATACATACTTATGTATAATGTAATAATATAAATGTATAATATAATGCATATTATATACAATATGTATAATGTATAATATAATTAATATTATGTATAATATAATAATATAAATATATATAAAAGATATATAAATATATACCCATATAATACATACACATATTTATGTATAACCACATATATGAAATATATTTGCATATCTGTATATGTGTGTATGGATATACATGTGAAACATGTTTTACATATATATATAATTTTTATGTGAAAACTCATGAAAAAAACTGCCTGCTCTTACCCTACCTTCCCCAGAAAGTATGCCTTCAGTCCAATTGTTGTTCAGCACTTTCAGATATTTAAACTGGGTTAGCAACAAGGCTTACAGAAGTGTGGGGGGGAGGGACAAAGAAAAACCTCAGAAAAGTTATAAAAGCATAATTAGGTGGAACATTGCAGACCTAGAAAGCTGTTGAGGATTGACTCCCCACTCTATCCAGACTATGTTACACTGTCTGAATTCCCTGGATAATTGGCTTGCTTTCCTCCTCTCTTTCTGCTTTCACCTCAGTAGGAATATTCTCTCTCCCTCTCTTTTTTTGTATTAATTTGAAAAAATGCTAAATTCTGACATTTTTTTATTATATGTGACACTTTGAACCCCACCTCCCCAATCCAGAATATATATATACATTTTTTTCTCACTGCAGTGAAGATATCATAATGCATATTAAGTATCATTTAGCCAAGCACATATTTAACCACTTATTTAACCAGTGAATGGTGGTTGAGGCATTTTATTCTGGCAATGAGATGGAAACAAGGGCAAATAAGGCCTGTTTCTTGCCCTCAAATAGGACAAAATCTATTGGAGGAGATCACTCCGCATATAAATAATTATAACACCATGAGATACATGCTAATGGAGGTATGTGCCTGGCCATGTGGGAGCACTGGAGCTGAAGCACCTAATTGCATGGAGATCACAGGAGAAGAAACCTTTTAGCAGAATCTGGAAGGAAGAGTAGGAAGGACCTGGTAGTCTAGGGGATTAACGGCATCCCAGCTAGTAAGAACAGCATTTGCAAAGGAGAAGAAACAGGTCATGTTTGAGGAATCACAGTGGCTTGGCACTGAGGAAGAGAGAATAAAATAATAACTCAGTGTGAAGGACAAAGGGCTAGGTATGCCATGTTAAAAATGTTTATTTTTTCCTAAATAGTCAAGAAGCAATCTTCTAAAATTACTTCTCTTATCAGTTAGAAATAAGATATAAAATATTGAAGTTGACCTGGTTACAAAGAAAAGAATTGGGTATCAGTGAAAAAAGTAGGTGCCTGGGGAAATGTTGGACAGTGGGCTTTGAATCTTTCATTTTCTTGAAAGAAATATGGCTTGTTCCAATGGCTGGACATTGCAGATTAATTTGGCAGATTGCAACGTGGTCATGATAAGATGCCACATTTTGAAGACTTTTCTTTGTGGCCAAGACAGAGGAGCAATGTGAACTGGGGACCTCCACTACACCCCAAAAGGATGAATGTATTTTCTTCCTTGGAGGTGGAGACCGCAGGAAAGGCAGTTGGCCAGTTTGGGAAGGAAAATATAATTTCACAAGCTGAAAACATCAAGCGATTCTTTCAAACTGTGTTTTGATGAGGTAAGTGTAAATGAATGAGAAACATATGGATTCCATGTTCCTGAAGATCCATACAGATTTAAAATTAAGGAACAAGGAGCTTGTGGCAAAACATGCTTTAGACTTAATCCAAATATAAGTGTTTGAGAAATCATTTGGAATTTTCATGAATCTACATAGAAATTCAGTTCTGCATCTTTCCATTATATGCTGTGTGAATTTTATTCAGAATCCAGCCCTCCTGCAAATATAGTGTCATTTGTGGGGAGGAATGGCCTAAATAGGCTTGGGAAAATTTAGTTATTATGTTAGGGACACAGTGACCTCAGACCAGTCAATAAAACCATCAGCTCCTAAGATAAGCTCTCTGAGACCATCACAGAATCCCCCCTACCACTCCCCACCCCGTACACAAACATAGCCTTTGTATGAATCAGATTTTACTAGGATGAGCTACAATTATAAGTAGTCCCCAAATCGCGGTCCCCAGATCAACAAAGGACTTCTTTCTCATCCTTGTCTCATTCACATTGGCTGTGGGAAAGCTGTCTTCGTTTAGGGCTAGGAAGGAAAGGCAGGGACACTCAATCTAGGACATTTAATTCTTGAGCCAGAGGGAAAAAAAGCAATGGCAAAACCACACAGTGGTTTGTTAAACTTTTGCCTAGATGTGGCATAGAACATGTCAATTCATTGGTCAGAGCACATCACACATCCAAGCTTGATCGTGGTGAAGTAAGAAAATACTTTGTACAGGGATGGGAGATGTTCAGGGAGATACCCCATAGGGGATGGCCCAAAAAAGAGGACCAGCAAAGAATTTGAACACATAATACAGTCTGTAGTCTATACTATACTACAGTCCTTTAGTATTATTAGAGTTTGAAAGTGTTTGCTCATTGGGACGCCTGGATGACCCAGTCAGTTGAGCGTCTGATTTCGGCTCAGGTCATGATCTCATGGTTTCTGAGTTGGAGCCCCACATCGGGCACTGTGTTGACGGTGTGGAGCCTGCCTGTGATTCTCCATCTCTCCCCCTCTCTCTGCCCCTTCCCCATTTGCGCTTGCTCTCTCTCTCAAAATAAATAAACTTTTTTTTTAAATATTTTTATTTATTTCTAGGAGAGAGAGAGAGAGAGACAGCGTGAGCAGGGGAGGGTCAGAGAGAGGGAGA